AAGGATAAAAAGAAAATGAAAAAAGTGCAGAGGAAAAAAATTAAAGATAAAAATCAAAAGAGTATAAGGATAAATATATAATATTATGTATAATATTTATATCTTAAAAAACGATTTTTAATATTATAAAAAAAATAAAAAAGAAAGCGTAATTCGAACGCGCAATCACTGTTTATCGTTATCGTTTTTTTTTCGCGTTATCTTTATCCGATTTTCCATACCTTCTTTTAATTCCCGTTGGTTCTCCTGTCTCGAGGAGCCGGAGACAGATACTGGAACGAAAGCGAAACGTGTGTCGTAGCTCCGGTACGGGGGTGCGCACACACACACACACACACACACACACACACACACACATACAGAAACAGCAGGACCACACGTATATCCTATAGAAAATAAGTATAGAGAGAAAGAGAGAGAAAGAAAGATTGTAAGAAAGAGAACACACGCACGTGTTTTAAGATTCCAGGCTTCGGGGAGGTGTGGTTGGTTGTTGGTGGTGGTCGGGTTCCTACTGGATGAAGATCGACGAGACTCGCCTAAATTCCCACAGCGAAGTGAACTTGTGCCGACACCCTATATAGCTGGATATTGATTGGCGCGGTTGGTTGCGTGCACACTTATGTTGACAATCGTGTGTGTATGTGTGTGTGTGTGCGCGCGCGTGTACAAGCTGCGTAGGCGCGAGTTGCGCCCCCTAGCCAGCCCTTAACCTTCCATCCCCACTGTTTTTCTCTCTCTCTCTCTCTCTCTCTCTTCTTCCCACCGTTCCCTCAGCCATCCCTTAAGTTTCGGATACACACCATTTCGAAGTACGAGAAAACCCCGACATCGACCCCGCCCTTGAAATGAAACGAAACCTCTATCTACCACCCCCTCCCTCCCCACACTCCACCTCAACCACCCCTTTTCTTATTCATCAATCCTATTCTTATTTGTAATCATTTTATCTGTTTTATTATTTATTTCGCGAACACGCGTGCGAAAATATTCATAAGTATGCGTATTTATTCTTTATAAATCTGTCTGTATCGAGAGATAAATGCAAAAATATCTCATCGAGACGATGAAAAGAATTCTTTTTTTTTCTTTTTTTTATTCGAATTTTTATTAGATTCACATTATTTCAGAGAAATATGTATTATAATTGAATTATATTGCATTGAAACGTTGAATATGTTTTAATCACGGAAAAAATAAAGGGATGAGTTTACCCTAGCAGGTTACTCACACGTTGGGAAGAGTCATCAATTTTTCCTCGGCTCACCCTCGTTCCATAATTTACAAGTTACATACGTACGACCTAAGAGTAGAGAGACATATATATATATATTTAGAGAGAGAGAGAGAGAGAGAAAGAAAAAGAGATAGAGGAGTGGAAAAAAAAAATCAATTTTTCATTTCCGATGAAATATTCAAGATGGAAGGATCCAGTCGGAAGTAAGATACGAATTGAATTCGATTAATGAATCCCTCTCTCTTTCTCTCTCTCTCTTTTTCTCACACACACACACATACACACACCCAGCTGTGATCGATCAATCGAGTTAGGAAATAGTATCGGATAAACACAAATGTGGACATTTTCGGGCTTCGTCTGTCATGGCCGCGAGTCTCCGCGGTTACGTTTTGACTGGCTTTGATAACGAAAGCGAAGAGGATTCGAGGGAGGAAGATTTAAGAGGAATTTATCGGCGACGCGGTGGTGGTGCAAGTAGTAGAGGAAGACAAGGAAGAAATCCATTGTTTATTCTACGGCCATTGCTGTCGTCGTTACCAGGTCGACGACTCGGTTCAAGGCCAAGAGCCGATGGACAATTACGTCAGAATGATGTTCAGGATACTATAGTTGCCCAATCTAATATAACGAGACGTCGTTTCCATACTACAGCTGTTCTTGCACTGAAACAGTGCAAGAGAAAACAAACCGCCAGAGTGAGGAAGTGCGTTTGTCTCCCCTCCAATTACGCCCTCGTCGAGTTCCCGGTTGTCTGGTCGGAACTTAGGTTATTTCTTTAGACCTAGTCACGCAGGAAATCATTTGCGTGATTATTCGTACTTTGTCGAATACAAATACAATAACAATTATATTTATATGCTTCTTAAATTGGGTACTCGAATAATATCGAATATTTGAAAATACGAATTAATAAATTATCCTAGCTTTCTTTCCTTTTTTATTTTTCTTTTTTCTTTTTTTTTTTTTTTTTTTGAAGAAGAAGAAGACACTCAAGAAACCGTACGGTATAATCAACGATTCATTTCTTTTGTTGTTGCTGTTGTTTAGAGCGAATAGACAGCTTTGCGACGGTGCCATCAGGTGTGCCAAGGACGAGTTATTTCCTGTTCATCGAGCCATACTTTCCGCGGTTAGTCCTTACTTCAAAGCCCTATTCACTAACAGCCTCAAGGGTGGAAAAAGTGAGACTACCGAGGTAGTTATCGATTCGGTTCCCAGTGAAATCTTTGCTCTGATCCTCGATTATGCTTACACTGGCACCTGCAACGTAAACGCTGACAACGTAGAACAACTTCTACCTTTGGCAGATCAATTCGAAGTACTCGGGGTCGTTCAACTCTGTTGTCAATTTCTCTTGCAAGAACTCAAGCCGGATAATTGTTTAGGTACACATACTTATACGATCGATAAGATTGAAATTAATTTCTTGATCGGATTCTTCTATAATTTATCCGTGTTATTGATAGGAATATTTAAATTTGCTCGTCATTATTTCTGTCGGGATCTCGAGGATAAAGGTAAGAGATACATTCGTCATCATTTCAAACAAATACTTTACGAGAGCTCGGAGTTCAAGGAATTACAAGCGGAAGAATTGGAATCGATATTGTTGGACGACGAATTAAACGTTAAAAACGAGGAAATAGTATTCGAGGCTGTTAAAACTTGGTTCGAGTATAAAATAGATGAAAGAAAAATTAACTTGGGAAAATTGTTAGAATGTATTCGTTACGGATCGATGAGTTACAATTATTTTCTCGAGAACGTTCTCAATTGGAAATTCGTTAGGGAAGACGAAGTAGGTGGAAAGAAAAAAACAAAAAAGTATTATTTCAATCGGTATTTCAATTTGGAATGTTATTTTCGTTCTAGGCCTGTCAACGAATATTACAGTCAGCAAAGACTTACTTAACCGAACAGGATAGCAAACAAAATGGAGAAATCGACATGAGGAATCCATTGTCGAGACCACGAGTACCCTACGAAATACTTTTTGCGATTGGTGGCTGGAGTGCCGGTTCTCCGACTAGTTTCGTCGAGACTTACGACACTAGGTAATATTCCTTGGATTGTCATTTAAACGATTAGGCTTTCTAAGAGTCAAAGAAAAGAGTAAAAAAAAAAAAAAAGGAAAAGGATTTAGAAGAAAATGATCAAAGTATTACAAAAAATATGTCATAAAAATCATATATAACACCATCTGTATGAATATCAACTTCAGAGCTGACAGATGGTTTCTATCAGTAAGCACGGATCTAACACCACGAGCTTATCACGGGATCTGTGCTCTAAATGATCTCATCTACATGATTGGAGGATTCGATGGGAACGAACATTTCAATACTGTACGATGTTTCGATCCGGTGACAAAGGAATGGCGTGAACGAGCTTGCATGTATCACGCTAGGTGTTACGTTAGCGTTTGTACGCATGGTGAGGGTTAAACGATTGCAAATTGTCATTACTATATAATAACGTAGATATATCAAGAAATCATTGAACTGATGTGACGAAAATTTTTGGAAAAAAAAAAAACAAACAAACAAAAAGGTGGCAAGATTTACGCATTGGGAGGGTACAATGGAAGGACCAGAATGAATTCAGCGGAAAGATACGAGCCACAGAAGAATCAATGGGAAATGATATCGTCGATGAATCGGCAACGTTCTGACGCCAGTGCGGCTGCACTTAACAATAAGATCTACATCGTCGGTGGTTTCAATGGTCAAGAAATTCTCGATTCCGCTGAGGTCTATGATCTAGAAAGCAATCAGTGGAGTTACATTAGATCAATGATCAGTCCTAGATCCGGTGTCTCATTGGTTGCCTTTCGCGATAGTCTTTACGCATTGGGTGGCTTCAATGGTTTCATTAGGCTAAGTTCCGGTGAAGGTTTCTTCGATATCTTCGAAATCCGAGCGATAATTAGGTGAATCCTTTCTACCTTTTTCTCTAGCCATCTCGTTGATCTCCTTTTAGGAGAACGTTACAGTCCAAACAATTCCGAGAATTGGCAGGAAGTCACGGAAATGTTCAGTCCGCGGAGTAATTTTGCCACTGTTATACTCGACGACATGATATTCGTCATTGGAGGTTTCAACGGTCAGTTTAAAATTAATTTGATATTATTCGGACGATTCATTTAAATGATAATCTCTCGTTGTTAGATCAAGTCATAGTATTTTTCTCAGGTACCACTACGATCGCTTACGTCGAGTGTTACGATGCGGACAACAACGAATGGTACGACGCATCACCGATGAATCTAAATCGAAGTGCACTTAGTGCCTGTGTGATATCGGGTCTCTCGAATGCACGAGATTATTCTTACCTGAGCAAAGTACGAGATCTTGGTCAAGGTAACTTTATCATTTTATTTTATATTGAAAGTTTTTTTTCTTGTTTTTGTAATTTTCTCACTTCCTTTTGGCATACATTTCAAAAAGAAAATAAATTATCTTAGGTTGCACGCGAAATATATTTATTTTAACGATAGTTATAGCAAGCAAAAAGGGCTAGTAAATATATATATATATATGTATATATGTATGTTTTATGGAAGTTAACGATTTTACGTTGGGTCCGTAATTTATTACACCGTTGGATAGTTCCGTTTTATATCTGTAACAATTCATACCTTGCATTTAAATTCGAATTTTATCAATAAATCATACCCTTATTTTGTTGTATCTCATCGTCAGATGTGTTTTTTTCTTTTTTTTTTTTTTTTGCCGAGGGTAATACTCGGTTGGTATTTCTGATTGAAATAACAAATTGAAAAAGAACATTTTAATTTTATAAAGTAACGTAACATTAACGATTGAACAAGAATTTATGAAATTAATATTAGGATAATTTAGAGTTTATAGATATAAATGGGATTTAATTTGTAATTCTTCGAGTTATTGTCAAACAAAAATGTTGTCGTTGATATTTAGGACAAGCTACTACGAATAGTCGAAGTAAGCCGGATCAAGCAGGAGAAGGTCCTACCGAGACAAATGTTGCTATGATCATAGACGAAGCTGTCGGTAGGGATGCTGCTGGACCAATCGATGGTATGGCCGAGGGTGTTGTTGCAAATTTTCACGATGTTAACGACGAGGAGCAAGAAAATCTTTCGTAACGTCGATTAACAGGAGAACAAGGGATGATATTTTCTATATCAAATGATTTTTTTTTTCATTATTATTTCGTAAATTATTAACGACAAAATATCCACTGCAGCAGCAGCAGCAGCACTTATAACGCAAGCGTAAAACAACATTTTTTTTTTTAGAAAATAATCTAACGCGAAAGAATTTTTATTTACTCAAATGTGTTTCTTTTTTATTTTTTCTGTCTTTTTTNTTTTTTTTTTTTTTTTTTTTTTTTTTTTGAAGAAGAAGAAGACACTCAAGAAACCGTACGGTATAATCAACGATTCATTTCTTTTGTTGTTGCTGTTGTTTAGAGCGAATAGACAGCTTTGCGACGGTGCCATCAGGTGTGCCAAGGACGAGTTATTTCCTGTTCATCGAGCCATACTTTCCGCGGTTAGTCCTTACTTCAAAGCCCTATTCACTAACAGCCTCAAGGGTGGAAAAAGTGAGACTACCGAGGTAGTTATCGATTCGGTTCCCAGTGAAATCTTTGCTCTGATCCTCGATTATGCTTACACTGGCACCTGCAACGTAAACGCTGACAACGTAGAACAACTTCTACCTTTGGCAGATCAATTCGAAGTACTCGGGGTCGTTCAACTCTGTTGTCAATTTCTCTTGCAAGAACTCAAGCCGGATAATTGTTTAGGTACACATACTTATACGATCGATAAGATTGAAATTAATTTCTTGATCGGATTCTTCTATAATTTATCCGTGTTATTGATAGGAATATTTAAATTTGCTCGTCATTATTTCTGTCGGGATCTCGAGGATAAAGGTAAGAGATACATTCGTCATCATTTCAAACAAATACTTTACGAGAGCTCGGAGTTCAAGGAATTACAAGCGGAAGAATTGGAATCGATATTGTTGGACGACGAATTAAACGTTAAAAACGAGGAAATAGTATTCGAGGCTGTTAAAACTTGGTTCGAGTATAAAATAGATGAAAGAAAAATTAACTTGGGAAAATTGTTAGAATGTATTCGTTACGGATCGATGAGTTACAATTATTTTCTCGAGAACGTTCTCAATTGGAAATTCGTTAGGGAAGACGAAGTAGGTGGAAAGAAAAAAACAAAAAAGTATTATTTCAATCGGTATTTCAATTTGGAATGTTATTTTCGTTCTAGGCCTGTCAACGAATATTACAGTCAGCAAAGACTTACTTAACCGAACAGGATAGCAAACAAAATGGAGAAATCGACATGAGGAATCCATTGTCGAGACCACGAGTACCCTACGAAATACTTTTTGCGATTGGTGGCTGGAGTGCCGGTTCTCCGACTAGTTTCGTCGAGACTTACGACACTAGGTAATATTCCTTGGATTGTCATTTAAACGATTAGGCTTTCTAAGAGTCAAAGAAAAGAGTAAAAAAAAAAAAAAGGAAAAGGATTTAGAAGAAAATGATCAAAGTATTACAAAAAATATGTCATAAAAATCATATATAACACCATCTGTATGAATATCAACTTCAGAGCTGACAGATGGTTTCTATCAGTAAGCACGGATCTAACACCACGAGCTTATCACGGGATCTGTGCTCTAAATGATCTCATCTACATGATTGGAGGATTCGATGGGAACGAACATTTCAATACTGTACGATGTTTCGATCCGGTGACAAAGGAATGGCGTGAACGAGCTTGCATGTATCACGCTAGGTGTTACGTTAGCGTTTGTACGCATGGTGAGGGTTAAACGATTGCAAATTGTCATTACTATATAATAACGTAGATATATCAAGAAATCATTGAACTGATGTGACGAAAATTTTTGGAAAAAAAAAAAACAAACAAACAAAAAGGTGGCAAGATTTACGCATTGGGAGGGTACAATGGAAGGACCAGAATGAATTCAGCGGAAAGATACGAGCCACAGAAGAATCAATGGGAAATGATATCGTCGATGAATCGGCAACGTTCTGACGCCAGTGCGGCTGCACTTAACAATAAGATCTACATCGTCGGTGGTTTCAATGGTCAAGAAATTCTCGATTCCGCTGAGGTCTATGATCTAGAAAGCAATCAGTGGAGTTACATTAGATCAATGATCAGTCCTAGATCCGGTGTCTCATTGGTTGCCTTTCGCGATAGTCTTTACGCATTGGGTGGCTTCAATGGTTTCATTAGGCTAAGTTCCGGTGAAGGTTTCTTCGATATCTTCGAAATCCGAGCGATAATTAGGTGAATCCTTTCTACCTTTTTCTCTAGCCATCTCGTTGATCTCCTTTTAGGAGAACGTTACAGTCCAAACAATTCCGAGAATTGGCAGGAAGTCACGGAAATGTTCAGTCCGCGGAGTAATTTTGCCACTGTTATACTCGACGACATGATATTCGTCATTGGAGGTTTCAACGGTCAGTTTAAAATTAATTTGATATTATTCGGACGATTCATTTAAATGATAATCTCTCGTTGTTAGATCAAGTCATAGTATTTTTCTCAGGTACCACTACGATCGCTTACGTCGAGTGTTACGATGCGGACAACAACGAATGGTACGACGCATCACCGATGAATCTAAATCGAAGTGCACTTAGTGCCTGTGTGATATCGGGTCTCTCGAATGCACGAGATTATTCTTACCTGAGCAAAGTACGAGATCTTGGTCAAGGTAACTTTATCATTTTATTTTATATTGAAAGTTTTTTTTCTTGTTTTTGTAATTTTCTCACTTCCTTTTGGCATACATTTCAAAAAGAAAATAAATTATCTTAGGTTGCACGCGAAATATATTTATTTTAACGATAGTTATAGCAAGCAAAAAGGGCTAGTAAATATATATATATATATGTATATATGTATGTTTTATGGAAGTTAACGATTTTACGTTGGGTCCGTAATTTATTACACCGTTGGATAGTTCCGTTTTATATCTGTAACAATTCATACCTTGCATTTAAATTCGAATTTTATCAATAAATCATACCCTTATTTTGTTGTATCTCATCGTCAGATGTGTTTTTTTCTTTTTTTTTTTTTTTTGCCGAGGGTAATACTCGGTTGGTATTTCTGATTGAAATAACAAATTGAAAAAGAACATTTTAATTTTATAAAGTAACGTAACATTAACGATTGAACAAGAATTTATGAAATTAATATTAGGATAATTTAGAGTTTATAGATATAAATGGGATTTAATTTGTAATTCTTCGAGTTATTGTCAAACAAAAATGTTGTCGTTGATATTTAGGACAAGCTACTACGAATAGTCGAAGTAAGCCGGATCAAGCAGGAGAAGGTCCTACCGAGACAAATGTTGCTATGATCATAGACGAAGCTGTCGGTAGGGATGCTGCTGGACCAATCGATGGTATGGCCGAGGGTGTTGTTGCAAATTTTCACGATGTTAACGACGAGGAGCAAGAAAATCTTTCGTAACGTCGATTAACAGGAGAACAAGGGATGATATTTTCTATATCAAATGATTTTTTTTTTCATTATTATTTCGTAAATTATTAACGACAAAATATCCACTGCAGCAGCAGCAGCAGCACTTATAACGCAAGCGTAAAACAACATTTTTTTTTTTAGAAAATAATCTAACGCGAAAGAATTTTTATTTACTCAAATGTGTTTCTTTTTTATTTTTTCTGTCTTTTTTTTTATACATCAATCGATCGCAATTATGTCGTTTTATGATATATACTTTTTTTTTTTTTAATTTTTTCCTTATCTTTTAAACGTTTGTAAAATTTACACACGATGACGGATCACGCGCGTTTACATACGATTTTAATTTTAATTTCTCTGATTATAATACGAACAGGATGAATTTTATTATCCATAGCGTTTTTTAAAATGCTTAATTTTTATTTCGAAGAATAAGCGAGTAGAACAATGATTTTTAATATTTTTTTTTATTCTTCTAATATTACATTCCCCAATTTTTTGTTCGTTATCGTGATTGTTATGTAATCAGAGAGAAAAAGAATATTTATTGATATTAATAAAATTATATATCCGCTGTTTGAAAATCTTAGATTGATTTTAATCCATTTCTTTTTTTCTTATATATATATAAATATAAATTAAGAGAAGATATATATCTTTGAAAATATAAAAAAATAAATAAAATACACATATAATAAAATAATAATAAATAGGAATAAATTAGAATATTGAACACAATTGGGTTATTCGGGATGCATCTAATTTACCGTCCATTAAATAAATCTAAAATTTTATATTAATCTATCTCTTTATGTATAGATTTATTTCATTTTTTTTCTCATATGTACTCATATATTATGTATAGTGTATACATTATTACATCTTCATTGGTGTTTCTCCCTTAACGACAAACTCCTTTAACTTTTTCTTGTGCTTCTCTCTCTCTCTCTCTCTCTCTCTCTCTCTCTCTCTCTCTCTACCTCTTTCTCTCTCTCACACAAACACATACACACACACGTATACACATACACACTCTCTCAAATCCTTCTCACGTGATGCACGTTCTTATTCCACAAAAATCGTACATACTGCTTGTATTGACAAATACTTTTGTGACCTCATTGGTTAAACTCAATTGGGGAGAGGAAAAAAAAGAAAAAAAAAAGTGGATTTTCAATTTCGACAATCGAAGAATTGCCATTCGTTCGTTCGTTCGTTCAAATGTCGAGAAAAATCCGTCAAGTAAAATTCCTTCTAAAATTTTGCGAATGCAAATGTTGTCATTTCCTTTTTTTTTCTTTTTTTTTTTTTAAATATTTCTGTTTTTATTTTGTTTATTTATTCATCGCGGTTTAATAAAGGATATACGCGTGTATCATATAATTTATATATATTATAGATGGACACGCGTTATATCGATATCTTCGTGGTGGCAGTTTTTTTCAAATTCTTCATTCTCGTCAATATATACGAGCCGGTTAGAAAAATTGTGCCATACGTTGATTAACGATGATTAAGAAATTAAAAAAAATTACGCGACAAAAGTTAGATTTATATTATATATATATATATATATATATAATATGTATATTATGTAATATACATATATTGACTTACATGTGTAATGTCAATTCGCAAGGTACACGTATGCATAATAAATTCTCGATACGATATTACGAATGCAAGGATACTCATATACGAATACGCGAGCAATCAATTACATTTGATAAGAATTTAATGAAAATTCCTGTGGCACGTGATTTTTCTTTTCTTCTGTTTTTTTTTTTTTTTTTTTATTATTTGCAATGAATTAACACTCTACAGTCCGAAGATTTTTCTTTATTGTAAGAAAAAAGATATTAAATTAATAACGAATTAAATTCTTAAAGGGGACATCGAAATACGTTTAGTCATGTTTCATGTATTGAAATGTAAATAAATGTAATTAAAAATCAAATAATAATAAAAAAAAAAAGATTTTCAAAAAATATCAGATTTATTGCGATATTTTTGAAATTAAATTTAATAAAAATTACAGACAAATTTATTTTCTTATAAAAAAAAGAAAAAAATTATACGGAAAGATACGTGTGTATCCTATTATTATTATTGAACAAAATTAATTTAAACAAGAAATAGTGTATTTTATACGTGTGTGATATTTCTAAATCCTGCAGGACTATAGAGAGTTAAAATAAATTATTTCATAAAGAAGATCATTCTCTAACATAATCCTACGTTTTCATAATATTCTTCTTCAATCTCGTATCTATTCTTATACTTTTTCCTATTTTTTTTTCTTTTTTTTTGTTTTCTTACTGCGGTCGCTGAGTTATCTTTCAGTTTTTTTTTCTCTTTTTTTTTTTTTTTACAATGTGATTTTTCATTTCATTTCGTCGGATAAAGAGAAAACGAAAGAAACTTTTTGTTTACGTTTCGAACGAATATTTTCATTTATAATAATCGATCCGTTTTTTTTTTTTTTTCGTGTATTATGTAATTATCGTTACCATTAATGACTTTTAAAAATCGTTAATATAATTTTTTGTTATCGTATGGTCGTATAATAATTATTTAAGAATGTACCTCTCTCTCTCTCTCTCTCTCTCAAGCATACATACATACGTACATACGTACATGCGTACACGCATACAAACGTTAACATACATACACGTTTTCTTTCTGTTTTTTTTTACTCTTTCTTTACATGGGATACCAGCCCATTGAAAAAGGAAGTTGAATTTAAATATGTGGGTCTCGCTCAGAAATTTACAGTGAAACTTAATCTATCTTAAAAGAAGGAATCGAATCAAAATTCGCGCGCGCGTACAATTTCCATTTTGTTGCAACTCACTTTCTTTCTCTTTTATTTTTCTTTTCAAAAACACACACACACACACTCGCGATTAAAAGGAACGATATCGTTTTTCGTCATTCATCGAATTCAATTCATTCAAAGTTTTGTTTCATCAAACCCCTTGACATCGAAAATCAAATTACGAAATTCGACGTGTTAGAAAAATATAAAATTTCATTATGTTGAACGATTGAACAATTATAAAAGTTTGAAAAAAAAAAAAAATATAACGAAATATTTACACGACTAAATATCAATTTAATCAAATCATTTATACAATAATAATGAACATTAACCCTGTAGCTACTAAATTGGCTTTCGAATACATATAAGTTATATTTTTCAACACATTTTTAACTTATTTTCATCGTTTAAACAATTGTACAATCTGTATAAATAATGGAAAATAATATAATTCGTTTTTAACAGACGTTTCTTTGGGTATACAATTTGTTTAATCTACTTTTCATATGCAAACGGTGGCAATAGTTGCCATAATCGTAGTCAAAGGGTTAACGAGATACCATTATTACAAATTAAATTAATATTAATTCTATAAAGTATGTATAAAGACCAAAAAAATATGACGTATCTAAGATGCCATCGTTATGCCAAGGGGTTAATATTACGATTAAAATGAAAAATAAGAACAGAACGAATTGATCTCTCGAATCAAAAAGCTATCCATAAATAATAAATAATTGTTTACTATCGAAGAGAGAGAAGAGAACAATAATAAGCAAAAAAATAAAAGAAAGAAAGAAAGAAAGTCAAAAAACGAAGGTTTTCGATACTTAGCACCGACGACTTAAGAGTCTTATCAAGAGTCTTATTGTTTAGCGATAATTAATTAAAAGCTAATTATACAATTAATGATCGACAAGCTACGACGATGATGTACACTACAACGCCATTTTCCACTTTTATCGTTTTCATTTGACTAATTTTTAATTCTATTTTATTTTCTTTCTTTTTCACTTTTCCCCCACCCCTCCATCTTTCTCTCTCACTCTCTCTCTCTCTCTCTCTCTCTGTCTGTTTTTCTCTTTCTTTTCCTTTCTTTTTATCTCATTCCGACGACGATTGATCGATCGTAATAGGCGTATTTCTTTTTTGTAGAACGTCCGCTTTGTGGTCGAAGTTTTTATTTAATTATTTATAATTCTTCGTAGATTGTTACGAGCAATTGAGATCTAGTATTGGAGGGATTTCATATACCTGAAACGTTTTTTTTTTCCTTCCTTCCTTCCTTCCTTCCTTTCCTTCATTTCTGTCCTTCCTATCCTCCTCGTTTCAACTTGTTGTCCATTCTTTAAATATTATTACATTTTCGTAACTTTTTTTTAGTCCCACACAAAACAAAACTTTCGTTTGTCTTTCTTCCCTATCAAAAAGAAGACGCGTGCGTAATTTTTATTAATATTCCGTTCGTCGAGCACACTTTCGTCAAAGCTCGTTTTTTAGTCAAGCTCCTTACAAAATTCTTTATCAATCACTTTTTTTTCTTTTTTTTTCTTTTTTATACGCGTTTATAATTAATCTTCTGATCGTCGTGCGACACAGCAATACAACAAACAACACCAACGAGAATAATATATCACGAATTATATTATATACGAATTATATTTCACTAATTCGTGTTGTGTTGTCTTTCTCTTATTTTATTTCTTCTTCTTCTATTGTGTTATTATTTCTCTTTGTTTGTTTGTTCGTTTTCTTCTAATTATTCATCTCGTCCATCGTCCTTTTTGTTTCATTTTATTTTTTTCTTACGCTTTCTTATTTTTGTTTGTTTGTTTGTTTGTTCATCCATCCTCTCTCTCTTTTTAACACGCGCACGGGACGCACTCACACTTATCTGAGGTTAACAATTGACATGCGTTTCGTAACTTTCCTAAATGCTAGACAAATGCATTTTCTAGCATTGTCTCTCTCTTTCTCATTCTCTCTTTTTTCTATCTCTCTCTGTCTCCCAAACTGCTCCTCTCTTCATCTGTCTCTCTTTCTCTCTCATTCTCTCGTACTTTTTATTTTATATTTTTTACTTTTAATTTCTTTTTTTTTTTTTTTTTTTTAAATCTTACATTTCTTTTTCTTTTCTTTTTCTTTCAAATACGCCCGCGAATCGCTGACTCTTACGTTAAAAAGAATAAAAAAAAACACTTATACAATTAGAATTAATTGTAAAGATTTGTTTGACACCCTCTGTAGGCTAAATTAATTTTGTATATAAATTGTAAGAAACATAATGTTTTTAATACCTTTGAATATACGAATAAATAATTCGTTCAATGATCATTTAATTTATTTTGAATATAGTGAGAAGAAAATATGTAAACGTTATTATATTTGGGGAGAGGGGGGTTGATTGAGAAAAAATTCATTTAAACGGACAAAATTTCGATATGTAATTTCCAAGTCAGACGGGACTACGGAAGGGGGTTTAGTATAATTTGAATCATACGTAATAAGAATTATTTATAAATTCGATGAATACTTATAGAGAATAAATACGGTGGATACGCGAGGTTCGATTATTTTGAATACGTTTTACGATTTCGCGATGAAAAACGTTTAATCTGATGAGATTACAAATTTCAATTAACGTTATAAAAGTTAACGATAATTGAGATATAAATTATAAATGAATGTTTATCATTAATAAATGAATTTTTCCTTAATGAATTCTTTATTTGATAGGAGTCAGCGAAACACTGTTTACATACTTTTGAATACGCGATAAGTATGTCAGTATTTAAATATTTTACATCGCGACTGAATGTCGCGAATCGATTACGAGTTCTTTTTTTTTTCTTGCGAAATTTTAAAAAATAAGAAAAAAAAAGACACGAAACTATACGAACGTATTTATATATTATATGTTGCAACGCACAGATTGGCCAATGTTGAACCAATTACGTTCGATCGATGGTCTTATTAAACTAACCCTATTTGTTAAAGTTTACGTATGACTTTTTTTTTCGCGATATTATCGATGAAAATTATTGGCATTTAAATTTACGAGGATTCGTCGCGATGATATTCGAGAATTTCTTTCTTTTTTTTTCTTTTTTTTTTCTTTTTCGTTTGCAACTTTCCTAAAAATTGTTCGATCGTAACTCGACGGGGAGCTAGGCCGGAAAAAAAAAGTTTTCTCGAACCGATTCGATCGCGGGGGGGAAAAATCGTTTACTTCTTTTTTTTTTTTTTCTTTATTAATTAAAATGTAATCGTTTTATTTGTTTGTTTATCTTCTTCTTCTTCTTCTTCTTCGTCATTTAAATCGAACTACCTTATTATCGTGCGGCATCTCCTCACATACTTACAATCAGAAACGGATTAATTATTATTTGAATTCATTTCAAACGTTTCATCACTTCTAAACATATATTTTTCTCGTTTCTTTAATATCTTCTTTCTCGTTAATAATTTCGTCATTCTTTTTTGGCTGCTCCTATTAACTTATTATTTAATTGTAATAATGTGTACACATCGAAAATCGTGATAGTACACATCCCCGTGTGAATGAAAGATGAATGATTATTATTGGATCCGCGAATGTGTTCGATCCCATCATGTTGCATGTTCCCTTATCTGAAATATTTAAGACCAGCAACTAGGAGAAATTTCTCGATGAAAAGCTCGGAGTCAAGGACGGCGATGTGAGCTGCTCGGCCGATAAGTGCATTTGCTGTCGGTGGTAGTGCATGATGGACATCGTATCTGACCAAACTCACACCGGATGCCGACATCACGGGATAGAGTATGTTGTGCACCATCTCGCGATACGCTGCCCCTACAAATGAAAAATAATGTCAATAATTTCATTTCAAAATCTGGATACAAATTATATATACGAGGAGTTAATTGATTAATAATTATATAATATCTACAACGAAATGATATTTTTCTATGCGGGTTGTGTGTCGTATAATAATTGATGCATCCTTGCTTGTGTGTATCTAAGAAAAAACTCGATTGAAGAAAAAAAAAAAGCAAACAAACAAAAATCAATATTTTTCTATAAGTCAAATATTGCAATACCTTGATCGGACGGATCACGTACGGCAGCCTTGCAAAGTTCAATTCTCGCCGAGTGAAGCGGTACGTAACGATCTTGAGCGCTTCCGCACAAAAGTACGTGTTTGAAATTTTGCAGATTGCTTTTTTGACTTAAACGAAACATGAAGGAACGCCTGACGTCCGGCGAGTCCTTCATTGCCAGTTGAAGCAACGATCCGGACTTTTTCCATTTTTGCATGAACCACATACCTGGTATAATCAGATAAAATCAGATAAAACAAGTATATATATGTATATATATATACATTGGACTGTTTTAAGAATAATCGTACTCACCAGCGTTAACCAATCCACTGGTATTATAAAGAGTGCCTAAATGAGGTCCGCTTAAACTAAGGAAGGTGTGCAAACGTGGAATAAGTGGCCGAAGTTGTGGTCGTGTTAGAGCACTTCGAATAATGATGGTCCCCAAAGAGTGTCCGATGAAGCTCACTTTCGTTGGATTCAAGCCCGATATTTCTATGTGATGACGAATCTCAGCGACCAATCTATCCGTCATAGTGTCAAAGTCCGAGAATGTGTCACCCTTGAAAACAATTCGATTCTTCAATATCGATAATTATGTTTTCATTGTTGAGATTAGAGAAACAGGGGATGATTATGGAGAATAAAAAAAAAACAAAAAAAAACAAACTTACTTGATTCTTCTCAGACATGAGAAAATCCAAGTGTGCCCCGGGTAGACCCAATTCGAGATAAGTCTTGACGAGACGTAGATCAGCTGCATTACCGTCGAGTCCATGTACGCAAACGATTAGGTGAGCACCTTCCGGCGAGAATAATCGGTACTCGTCGCTGATGTGGAAATACGGCAAGGTCGAGGCCAGGCTTGGGTAATCACTAAGAGGCACATTCGATCTTAAAGGTTGAATCGACGACGGGGTCAGAAGGTCACCGTATCCGAAGGAACGGGCACGCTTATGGAAGCGATACTGCGCTTCCTTGCGTTCTCTAGATAGGGGTAAGGTAGATAAAGAGAACTTAAAATACGAATGGAAAGGTGGACTCGGAAATGAGAGTGAGAGTGAGAGTGAGAGTGAGAGAGAGAGAGAGAGAGAAAGAAAGAAAGAAAGAAAGAAAATCAGAAGAAATGTGTGGCGGCGAAACTTAAATCCAAATAAAAAAATGCAGCAGACTATTGCTAGTTGGTGCTGATGAAGCAGCACACAAGTGCTAACACTGTTGCGTTAGCGGAAAGAAATAAAAGATTCATTTCAAGAAATAAAACGAGGAATTAATTGTCAATCTGTTGGAAGAAGAGTATCGGAGGGACCAAAAGCACGATCCTCAAAATATAATAATGTACACACCTGTAAATCCTACCGGAGAAGCTCATCTGTCGTTTGAATTCTTCCTTACATTTTTTGAAGTTTATCAAATCGTCCTGGGTACTTTGTAAAAGTTCTTTGCCTTCTTGATAACAATCCAAACAAACGGTACCACCACCGTACGCATTTTCTCGATTCCGTTGAGGACTACAAGGTGCTGTCTTGTTCTGTTTGGGACTCCTAGTTCTTTTGACCGTCTCGTAAACGTGATAAAGAGGATTGTCGATGGGCGCTGGTGGATCACGAAACTCTTCCGGAGGTGGTGGCTCGTCTTGGAACATTTTTGGTGGTGGCAATCTAACTTCTTCGTAAGAATGTTCGATAGGACTGCTATTCTCCTTTGCTGGGCCTGTCTTTCTCGGTACGATTTTGGAAAGTTTCTGACGCAACTGTTCGCTCGATAATCTCGCATTACGTTTTTGTTCCGAGCTAGAGGTGTCACCGCTGCTAACCCAACCTGAACACTCAGACGTCAAATTGCTGGAGCTCGAACTGGTCGTAGGACTACTCGGTCGAGTGGACGGCGGACTAAGGGGATTTGGAATGACGGGAAGATTGTTGCTAAGGCTATCTTTACTATCGCGTATCGGCATGCATGGTAGCGAAACGGCGCTACGTGGGACTACGATTTTGTTCTGTGCCACGGGTACGCTGGCACATCTTAGTCTTTTCACGTTGGGCGGTTGTTCACCGGTACTTGATATTTCGGATGACGGTGTTCTGCCGTTTGTAGCCGGTATCTCGTTAGGAGATTTTATCGGTTCAACCTAAAATTTGATATAATATTAAATAAACCTTTCGATATTTCCACCGATGGATTCACAATAGAATGAAAATACGAAATTAATTACCTTCAGAATAATCTTATTATTATTCTCAACTTCGAGAACATTGGTCGTAGGTGCTGGCGGTGGATGACGATATTTAGGCAAAGGTGCCATAGCCGGATCCTGATAAGCTGCAGGTGGCGGGGCAGGTTTCCTGTTCCTATGACCACACTTTCTACCATCCTCGGTAGGACGTTCGGTGTCTAATACAGGCGCTGAATGTGGCCTCCTACCGTGCTTGTCCCTTCTTCTCTCGACGCGGGTTTCTCTTTTGGGGTCGGCCTTGAGCGCGATCACTTCGTATAAGGGCTCATTAGGCGAGTCCATCGTTCTTTTATCACGTTGAACTCTTTTCTGTTGTTTCTCTTCCACGTAACACGACAACGTAACACCATTACGAGGTGATTTAGTCACCCTTTCGTCTTTCCTTTTCGTTCTGTCCCTCCTAAACTCGTAACAATCGTTTCTATCAGTCTCGTCTACGAGCCTGTCGGTACTTTTCGGTCTTTTGGGTCGGTCAGGTTCGTCGCGGGTGCGTCCGCTGGTGCCGTTAGTTCGATAAAAAAATGAATCCGTTGTTGTCGACGAGTAATTCGATACTCTGTACAACGGTTCCATCAGCAACGAATGACTGCTCGTCAATGTGCCACCGTTTATCGAATCCTGCGTTTCCCGATTGGATTGTCCGTGACTTGAGCTTGTTTTACCGATCGTGTGATAACGTCGCGTATCCAATCCGTTGGTTTGATTGTATTTACTACCTGTTTGATGTGCCTGTTTCCTTGCATTTCCACGATACGTTATCCTATCAAGTGTAGCTGTATGAAGCGGTTGCGTTTGTTGCTGTTGCTGTTGCTGTTCGTGCAAGAAACCATCAGCAACGTTGGCACCAGATTTACCGACAGGAAAGTTATTTTGATCGTTGCCTGAGAACCCTTGTCGTGTTAACAATCGATGACTCCTCGGCTCCAATCGTATCCTTCTGGTATCCAAAGAATGAAAGTCTGAAAGAAATAAAAACGAAACTCATAGAAATGTTGATAATATTGGATTGCTTGAAATGTTTGCGCTGATTGTTCGGGAAATATTCAAAGGCATCATTTTCTATTTTGATATATATATATATATATATTCAAATATTGAAATACCCAAAAGATGTATAAGACGTGACACGTGGATAAATCTCATAGAGAAATGGTAAAAAAAACAAATGATACCTTCAGACGTGTGAGAAGACTTGCTCTCGGTATTCAAGCAATCAGCCAGTTGGGCCAAATCCAACGTTCTGATATACGAGGGTACCGTTAGATTTTGTTCGCAGGATTTAGCGTTGGGCCGATAACCAGGCAGCCGAGTGTCCGATGGTAGCTCGGGGAACATTGCCACAAGAAGCGAACCGATGGACGTCGATTGGGGATCGATTTGTTGTCGATTTTGCACCAACATCTGCGTGGATTTGGCTCGAGGAAGAGGTATCACCGGAGTGGAACTCAATGATGGGTTTGGCGCTGAACAGGCCTGCTGTTGTCCAGACGGTGGGAAGAGGGTGGTGGACGATACCCTTGACCTTGGCCTTCCTCTCGATGGAACTGTCGCTGGTGGAGTCGCATTTCTCATTCCACCACGTTGTTTAGGAAATAGTTGGGTCGACACCGATCTGGGTTAAAGCCGAGTTAAGTAAAAGTTACAAACTATTTAATTATTCCCAGATAACTCGTCCAAAGATAAAGTTTCATATAGGGATAATTTATGGATTCGAAACGAGGATCTAACAAACCTGGGTAATGTCTTAGGCGAAGTTCTTGGTTGCAATGGCGCCATTTCAGGACCCAATTGATCGAGAGACTTGCTATGCCTAGCTGGTAAAGTCGAAGGGGTCGTAGCGAACCTAGCATGCATCGCTCCGATGTCCTGTGCAGCACCTTCGCTTCTCGGTGACCAGATTCCCATCGTCCTGGATCCCAGAATCGCAGCGATTCCACAGCTACAATCGTCCATACTAGGAACTGAAAAAGATAATATATTTATAATATAATTAATTCTCATATCTCGATTAATCCAAATTGTTATTCTTACTACTGTTTCTGTGTCTCTGTTGCATATCGGCATATTGATCCTCGAAGATCAAAGGCAACGAATGAAGATCCCCATCCAATTCCGGACAATGAACTGGTAACGGTGGTAACGAGGCAAGATAACGTGATCTTCGTGCTGCTTCGCTCACTGCCTGATAAGACTGATAATTAGCATCGTAACAACCCGCCGCTGACGTTCGTGGATTTTCCAATACGAAAAACCCCTCCGCAAAACGTTTAACCTGCAGAACGATCGTTGTTTAACAACAACAAAAAGAACAAAAATAAGCCCAATTAATTGGAATCAGAATCAACAGGTTTCTTAAAATCTCACTCGCAACTGATGATGAATTCTAGCGAGATGTTGATGAACAGCTTCGCGACCTGAGAAAGCTTCTAAAAAGTGTTGCCAAAGGACGATATTTTGTGCACAGAGCTGAGCTATATCTGCCTCTTCCGTGTCCATCATCTGTTAATCGAGATAACACATGATATGAACTTTTTCAAAAAACATTTCCATTAAAACTAATCAAATTAAAAACAAAATTAAACCTTGGTAATCTCTTTGTGCGTGTTCTGTGCAAGCTCGAGTGCCCTTTGCTGCCAAGATGGTAAAAGCCTTGCTAAATCGGCCAGATCATTCAACAGGGATTCCCTAGCAGCTAAAAGTAATCTCGCAACTTCTTGTTGAACCAATCTGGCGTGTTGCATCCTGGTAGCCGAACCTACGCACCTCGTAGTACTTTCCTACACAAGGAGTCAACAAAATGAATAGATTCAATTTTCTGTCGGTTCAATCGTTTCCTGTGAAAATAAAAAACAAACCAAAAAAAAAGAACAAAAAAACATATTGCTATAGTTCGCATGCCTCGTAAGCGTAGTTTTTTTATTCGATATTTCATATCACATATTTACTCATATACTTGTAAAAATATACTAAATAAGTAGATACATAAGCATTATATATAAATATATGTCATATATGTGACAACGGTTGGTGTCTATAGATAAAATGTCCGTTCTATAGACTATTATATACGTCACATATATGTAATGCATTAAATTAAAACGGCCATTGGACAATGTCACATATATGTGACGTTGGGCTTTCGAAACATACGGTCACGTCACTCATATGTAACATACGTTCCATGCAATACCGGTCGCAAACATCCCACTTTGAACTTTCCGTTCGGGTCATTTGAAATTGTCGTTATTTATACGTAGGTGTCGTATAATAACCTGTACGACTTATAAACGAAAAGTCATCATAAATCAATTGAAAAATGAAAACCAATGAAGCTTAGGCTTTATAGTCACAACGTTTCAACTCACAACGTTTCCGAAGGTTGCGTTGTTCTCGCTGTTGGCTGTCGTCTGTTTAAATTGCAACCAAGGTTTCCCACCTCGCGGTGCGCTATAAATTCCATATATACACGTTGTTGGTTAATCAGTTTGAAAAGAAAAAAAAGAAAAAATCAATTGATTTTTAAAAAGCTAATCGAACGGAAAATTGTATGAAAACTTACCAACTTTGAACGTAATGCAGGATGCTCTTCCTGATCGTTTGCGCATGGGACAAGGTAACAAAAAGAAAAACACACGATATATAATATATCAAAAGGGTAAATAGATTTAAAAAAAAGTAATGGTGATAATATAAAAGGAGAGATAAGGAAAGAGAGAAGAAAATACCGACTTGATGTACGGCTGATGAAGCGCCACGAGGCAAGCGTGGATCGTGATGGATACGGCGGCGAGATGAAAGTAATCGAAGAGTACCGGGAGATGATAATGGAGACCCTTCGTTGGCGCGAAGTTTAGCTGCAATGCCCTGAAAAGGAATCGAACGGAGAATAATGAAAGAACAAAAAAAAAGAAAAAAGAAAAACGATAGAGAGAGAGAGAGAGAGAGAGAGAGAGAGAGAGAGAAAGGCACAGTGCACACACGACTGTTCGAAAGTATCGATTTTCGTCGTCCGTTTCATTGGAAAGTTCGTCAATGTGTCTTCTTGTTTTTAATGCGTGTGTTAGTAAAATAGTATTCTGTTTCTATTATGTATGTGTATGTCCATGAGTCTCTACGTTCTCTACAGTGATCGAGATAAACCGATTGTAAATGAGTAAAAGAAAGAAAAAGAGTGTGAGAGAGAGAGAGAGAGGGAGAGTAAGAGCAGCCGTTAAAGTGCTCACCTCGATGACACGCATGCCATATTTCCGGGTTGTGTATTTTCGCTGAACCATAGTTCGACGCCAAGATTGAAGTGGGTGCGAGACAGGGCCTCCTCGATCTTGTGACTGTGTACAAGCACATGTGCTCGAAATAGTACCGATGTACCGAGTGTCACCTCTTCGTTTCTGTACAGGATTGGAAAGCGTTTGCTCGTGCCTGGTGCCTCCAACGAATCTAAAATGATGGTTCTTTACGTTCCCCTAGTGGCCAATGAGAATAGGGTGACGATGATTCGATTAGACCCGAGTAAATTGATTTCTCTTCTTCCCTAGCAATTTTAACGTTCCTGATTGTTTCATCAATCTAGTATTATTAAAAGATATTACCCATTTCACTAGAGACACTTTTTTTAATATCTCGTTAATTTTCTTTTTCTTTTTTTTTTTTTTCTTCTCAAATGAAATTATTTTTAATAATAACGATATAGTGTAATATATTGTAAAGTATCATATTATGTAGATCCATTCGAATCGTTATCTGAGAATTCTATTTTAAAAATCAATTTAACAACTCAGGTCTGACGATAATGATGAAAAAAAAGACCACTCACGATTGCGCAGCTGATTGACTTCCACCTTGACCGGTAATTTTGGCGACACTCGAAGAGCCGTCCGTATTTGGTAATATCTAAATGAACAAATAAGGTCGAATGTATGTATGTTAAATTGAACCAAAAGTTCTTGCCTTTTTTTAAATTAATATTATTTCACACGCGCGTGTAACGTAATTTTATTGACTTCAACGACAAAAATTATTCCTATCCAAAACAACAACACAATAAACGACAGGAATTACTATTGTTTCATCATTCCCCGTAACGCATTCATTGATCGAATTAGGATTATTTCCAATGTGACAAAAAGAGAATTTTCTAATAGAAAATAGTAAAAAGTTTGTGATGAAAAAATCGTTGACGATTCTTTGTTTTTTTTTTTCACGTTTATCATAAGGAGTGGTGATCGTTTTCTATATTACTACGGGATTCCCTAACACGAATTGAACGGTCGTAGGAGACCGTTTTTTTTTTCTTTTTTTTTTTTTTTTCATAAGTATTGCAATCAAAGAAGACTTTCAATACTCCTTCATCTTCTTCTTTTTCTTCCTTACCCTCGTTGAAAGAGGTCAACATTGTAGAACTTGCAGAGCTCGAGGGAGAACTCGAGGGTGGCCTGTAGATCGCTCATCTCGATCCTCAGGATGGAAGGAATCACCCCCTCCCTCTCTCTCTCTCTCTCTCTCTCTCTCTCACTCCCTCTCTCTTCGTTTTCCTTGTCCAATCACCTTTCTATCTTGATTCTCCCTAATCGTACGAGGGCCAACTTTGCGCAGGACGATGTTTCGTCTGCTTAGACGATGATGCTATACTCCTTCCACCTGCCATCCTTCCTTCCTCCCTTTTGGACCTTTTTTCTCTTCAGCGCCAAAGGTCCTCTGCCAAGAGATAAGAAAGAAATGTACGTGACTTACGTGTTAATCAGAATATTATTATTCTTTCTTATTTTATATTTTATTCGATTTTATTTCCCAAAAGTCGACTGTTTTGTGAATCCTGATTTTTTTTTGTTTAGAAATTCTTCTTATACAATATGTAAACATATTTTAAACGTTGTATGTATATACTATACTTATCATTCTTTATTTTGTTTTCTCTGCATTTGTCTAATTTTAAAATGTCGATTATGTAATGTTCTGCGCAATATTAAATGGAAAAAATAAATAATCTTTTCGTAAAAAAAATTCATTGAATTATTCAGCCGTCTCTGTTTATTCGTAAGACAAGCAGCAGCAATGTGAACGCAATGTGTTGATTTCTTTCTTCTTTTTTTTTTTTTTTTT